GGGTTATAGTCTGTGGGGTTGCAAAGAGTCAGACGTGATTGAGCGACTAACAGACACACACACACTTTATTAGACTATAATGTTTAAAAATTAACTAGGCATTTATTTTGAGGCTCAAACAATAGTGTACATCTTCTTGTTGGAATCACACTGTTTGTACTGATTTCAAAGGCTAATAAGAAAACCCTTCAATTCACAATTTAATAATTTGTGACTTCAGAAATTGAGGATTTGATGATTTGATCTCTCCATTGGCCTCAAATGATCTTTGATGATCATTATTGCTGTATATAGGCTTTTAAGACTTCAAGAGGAGGTTTTTTACTTTTTTTGAACAGGTTACTTTTATTTAAAGATGTAGAAAAATTATTAGGGGAAAATGGACTCATTCTGGATCAATATTTTATTGAACTTCCTTCATTTCCTTAAAATATACAGCATATGCATTACAAGGATATCTTTGGAGTCTGTGTTGTTAACTTATAAAAAGTCTCCTTGAATGGAGTCTAAGGTATTTACGATATAAGTTGTATAGCATCAACTGGCCAGCTCACTGAGAGTAAGATTTCAGTGCAGTCAACAAAAGTAAACCACAGAAACATAACGTTGTGAGAAATGTATTAGAATGGCATTTTTTCTTAGTGGATATGCCAATATAGAATGATGATTAAGGGCAAGCTTATATTGTAGATTTGATGACTGTCATGCACTGTCATGGAGTTTTGCTACCCGTATTATTTTTAGTGCTTTTAACAGATAGGGTGCTGGATTAGGCAGCTGCTTGTTATTGGGCTTCCTTGTGACTCAGCTAGTAAAGAATTCGCCTGCAATGCGGGAGATATGGGTTCTATCCCTGGATTGGGAAGGTCCCCTGGAGAAGGGAAAGGCAACCCACTCCAGTATTCTGGCCTGGAGAATTCCATGGTCAGAGGAGCCTGGCAGGCTATGGTCCATACAGTCGCAAAGAATCTGACGCCACTGAAGCAACTTACTTCCATTCTATCTGTAGCAATCAAAACTTTACAAAAACTTATTCATGTTTTTGCAGTAATCCTGCAACCCAATTTATTGTATAGGAGTAAAATCTCTAATGATTTAGAGTTATAGCTCCTATACAAAAATTTGTGTATGTGAGCTGCTGCTACCAAGTCGCTTCAGCTGGGTCCGACTCTGTGCGACCCCATAGACGGCAGCCCACCAGGCACCCCCGTCCCTGGGATTCTCCAGGCAAGAACACTGGAGTGGGTTGCCATTTCCTTCTCCAATGCATGAAAGTGAAGAGTGAAAGTGAAGTTGCTCAGTCGTGTCTGACTCCTAGTGACCCCATGGACTTCAGCCTACCAGGCTTCTCCATCCATGGGATTTTCTAGGCAAGAGTACTGGAGTGGGGTGCCATTGCCTTCTTCAGTGTATGTGAGCAGAAGATACAGATTGATTTTCTCTTTTTAGATGGTTTAGAATATATTCTCAACACTATAGAGTTTAGGATGCCAAGAGTATCAAATCTCTACACAGATCTTCTTTCCTCCTTAGTGAAACTTGGTGGCCTCCTGTGACCTTTTCTTCTTTTGTTGCGGCAAGCTTTATTTATTGTGTGTTCAAATTGCTGGCCTTTGAATAAAAACATCATTAGGTTAGTACAACTCAGAGTCAAAATTTGGTATTAGATCTAGTTTTTATTCTATTATCCTCATCGTCTCCAGAATGGAGTTACAGTAGAATTCATCTTTAAGCATTTAGTTAGAAATGTTCTTCATTCATTCTGCAAATACTTATTGAGGTACAGGGCTGGGAACTTGGAGATGGATGAACCTGGCGAAGTACCAGTGTCATATTTACCTTAACTCTCCATAGAATGGTTGCCACTCATGGTTTTCCTCAGGACTTAGGCAATTCTCTAGAAGAGGATGTTTATTCTAACTTACTTTTGACCTTTTTATTTGTCAAACCACAATTATTCAGCAGCAGAGTCAGCATTAAACAAGTTTTGACCTTCCTAAGGAGCTAAGTTTATCTAATATCCATTGCGGAGGCTACTCTGTTATTTTTTCCACAGATGTCAATGAAATATTCACGTAGCTTTGCAGAATTGTAGTTTATAGTTTCAGGCTATATCAGAATAACCTGGAATACTGTTAAAATGTAGATCCCTGGACCCCCAGGTCTGTTGCCACAAACTCTGTGTGAAAGAGACTAGGGAGTCTGCATTCCTTTTCTACAAGATGTCCTCAGTTGATTCTTTGGGACATACATAGCTTTTTGAAAGGAAGGCTCCAATGCACTCAAATCAAGCTGAGCTTGGAAAGGGAGCCAGTGTAAGAAACGTCGTGGAATGACATTTTTCCCGAGTACATGTAGTAAAGACAAGGAAAACCAAAGGGCCTGAGTTTTTATTAAAAGTTTTGAGATGCAGTGATACAGAACATACGGTGATTTGCACGTGGTTTCTTTCCTTCCTTGTTTCAGTGTAGGCTGTGTTTTAGGTTGGAGGGCCCTGGAGGTGTGTGTTCCAGGGAGGCCTTAGGGTGAAGAGAGGGGAAGACCAGTGTCCACGTTCACAAGACTGCTTTCAGCGCCCAGGGCTGTCTCTGGGTTATTTATGGAATTTACGGAACTATAGGAGGTGATCCCAGTGAACTGACATTAACTGAGTCCTCAGAGTGGATATAACCCAGCTTATCTGCACTTAAATAAGTCCAATCTTAGTAAGAAATATGATGTGGAGATACTGATAATCAGAATTTTTCTTAGAACCAAGTTATTCTTTGTACTGAAAAAGTAGATTTTCTCTAAAATACCCAAACTTGGATATTTCTGATATCAGACCATGTGTCACCCATGGTTGGCCAGTCATTCACCATGGTTTGTCTTGTGACTTGAAGCGTTGTTTTTGCGAAAGTTGTTTTGCATCCAGATGCTTTTAAGCTAATAACATGCTCATGATCTCAATAGGTATCAGGCATGGTGATTTCCTGTGGAATAAATCAGAGATATGTACATGGTACTTTACTTGTGAATGTATCAATAGCTGTGATTAATGGTATAAAAGTTACCTTCATGCCAATATTTTGTTTTTCTGCTATACAGTTTAAAATGTGCTGGGGGTGGTAATAATAGCAGCTTTTGACTTTCCCCTTTTCCTCGAAGAGCGCTGGGCAGGGCCGAGGATGTGACATATACATTATCTTTTTTAATCTTCAAAATAAACTTATAGTGTAGGTTATATAGGGTTTCCCTATATAGTGTAGGTTATATAGGGCCAATGCAGAAGACATGAGGGACATGGATTCGATCCCTGGGTAGGGAAGATCTCCTGGAGGAGGGCATGGCAACCCTCTCCAGTGTTCTTGCCTGGAGAACCCCAGGGCAGAGGAGCCTGGTGGGCCACAGTCCATAGGGTCGCAGAAGTTGGACACTACTGAAGCAACTTAGCATACATGCCACATGGGTTATATGGCAATTTTGAAATGAGTGAAAAGCCTGAGGCTTAAATAAGCGGGTTTTTTATGCAGTCCATGTAGCTGATGAGTGAGAGAGCTCGGCCTCTGCCCCACGTCCTGAGACCCGTAATGTCTTTGCTGTTGCCCACTTTTCTCTGCAGCCTCCTAACTTGAAATATCGTTAGTAATTCTTTATTACATAATGCTTGTTAACAGAGCAGGCAGTATCCTATGATATTCGCCTGTGAATAAACTTATTCCCAAAAACCTTAATCAAAATAAGCCAGAAATAGGTCATTAAAATTAGAATTCTGACAGATTTTTCTTACAACATCAGTTTTCTGAGGCAGTTTACAGTACAAAATCAAATTATGGTAAACAGATAGGTTTTTCTTAGAAAAATCAAAGAAAGCTCAAGAAGGTGGTTGATGGCTTCAGTTAAGTCTTTTTTTACCCTCACAAACAGTTCTAACTAAATTTATTGGTGAAAGAAATTATGAGGTAATAACTAATGAGATAAGTTGCTATCAATACTGTATTGATATAAATGGGTCTGTCCCTGACAGTATTTCATAATACAGACTTTTATATATATTTTGATGAGAAAAATCATCCCAAAAGAAATGTATATTCATATTTATTATTTTATAGTAACTTATTTTGTTTCTCCATGTTATGCTATAAGTTTTTGAAGGGTAAACATATCTGTTTCTATTGTTTTATAATTCTTAGGTAATGGAGACTAGATTTATTGCTGAAACATTAAAGGCTGCATTTTTCTCCAATATTTCATAATACTTATTTATCTCTGTATTCAGCAGGAAATGTGTAGGAATTTCCTCCCTTTCATCTATATATTTCTTAATATATAGGCTCAGAAAGCTTAGTAGTAATTTTAACTTCTTATGAGATATATGTAAAGGTGTTTTACTGAAGATACGGTGTGCCTTGAATCCTGTAAGTTCATTTCCTTACAACTCAGTACAAGTTAAAATAGATGGTAAAACTTCATGATTCTTTCGGGTTTATTAAAGTTAGCCAGGAGACATCAAGGAAAGAGCCTAAAATTTTTATTTGATATTCTGTGTTAACATTACCCTAGCAGTTTGTAGATCTTTAAACTTGAATCTAGAAATATTAGTGCTAATATTTTAAATCAGGAGCTTCCGGGTGGAGAGGGAGGTGGGAGGGGGGACCGGGATGGGGAATACATGTAAATCCATGGCTAAGTCATTTCAATGTATGACAAAAACCACTGCAATGTTGTAAAGTAATTAGCCTCCAACTAATAAAAATAAATGGAAAAAAAAAGAAAAAAAAATAAATCAGGAGCTTCTCTAAGCTTGAAACTTTTTGAAATGTCTTTAATACCTCATGCTGATAATACATTTGAGTGAATTCATTACTTATTCAAATGTGTTATAAAGTCATTGGGTAATACATTGTGTGAAAGACTCATGGTAGATTCAAGTGATAGGTTTGTATTATTATGAATTTTTTTTTTTTAAGGTTTGTGGATTTTATCTTTTTAAGATGATGTTTTCTGCTTTCGTTACTTAGGGTCGTTGCTCCAGGGAGAACTGCAAATATCTTCATCCACCCCCACACTTAAAAACACAGTTGGAGATAAATGGGCGCAATAACTTGATTCAGCAGAAGAACATGGCCATGTTGGCCCAGCAAATGCAACTAGCCAATGCCATGATGCCTGGTGCCCCATTACAACCCGTGGTAAGCATGTTCCTAGTTCTCACTTCTTAAGTTCGTCTTGCTTAGTGCTCAGTTCCAGTGTTAAATTGGTGATTGCACTAGATCAAGTGAACACAGGGAACAATATCAGTTGCCTAGCATTTTCCAGCAAGACTATCAGTCAATCCCTGGAAACAGTTTCCCTGGGAACAATTTTTACATGGTGAAGTTACTCATCATCTGGCTAGATCATGTGAAAATTGACATGATAGGATGTTTGTCCCCTCAAGTTCTCTTCAAATCAAGTCCTGTGACTTGCAGATGTGCCACAGTCTTTTTAAAAATGACCATTAAACTCATTAGTATAGTCTAGATGCATTTTCAGGCTATCTTTTTAACACTAATAGTCATTTTGAAAATTGGTGTAAATCATCTTTAATTTTGAGTGTTTCCTTTCCCTCTCTCATTAAAGAGAATCTGTATAGTTCTCTTTCTTGAAAAGGAGTCTTCATTATTCTTTTAAACTTATTATGAATTGAAACTATTTGGTAGTTACAGATGCTAGGAAAATTCTGACAGTGGTGAATCCATATCATAGATCTGGAAGTTTCATCAGAGAACTAATCAGGAGAGGCAGAAACTCCATGGACTTTTTAGGGAAAAAAGCTAAATTTTATAGACTCTAGGTGGTCACACAGATTTAATGTTTACTGAACAGTGTAGGTAGATAACCTATGATTCTGAGCATATTTATTTATTTGTTTGTTTGAATTTGGGGGAGGGTGTATGTGACATATGACTTTAATAACCTTTACTCACACTTATCCACAAAAATGTAAGAGATTAATATCATAATTAAGTTGCAAAAGATGTTTTTATATTAATTTTGATATAGTAATTTTGTATTTAAATGCATGTTGAAATTTGCAATAATTGGAATATTCCTGTCACTGACTTATATGCAATATTATGGGCTCCTAGAAACATGAAGACCCACGTTTTTCTGATATGGCAACTGTAGCATGTGTGCTAACTAATTTTTTTTCCTAATACATTTTAACACCTGAACTCAATGTAATTATTATTCTCTCTTAGAACTTAATGAACCAATCATTCCAAAAAAGAGGGGGGGATTGCATTTCGAGGTGGGAGGGATCTCCAAATCCAATCGGCAGTGATACCAATTATCAATACTATACAGTTGAGGTGAGAGAATGTTATAATTCTGTTTTCACTTGCTATATTTTTTTCCATTATTGGGAACTCAGTTAACAATATGATATCTTAAATTTGTTTCTGTGACATCCGTTAATTTCACATGTCTGTGTGGATAGCATGAAGATTTCCATTTGGTTAAAAAAAAAGTCTTCTCTTTCTCTCTAGCGTAAAATGTAGGACAAGAGTTCTCTTACACTTGACTCTCACATGGTTTCAAAGGTGTGATAAATCCGTGGGGTGGCTGCTGCTTTAATTGATATAAGATCTTTCCTTGGTGTGAGGTACTTTGTTCTACTTAAACATTTAAAGCGTGCTTACTGGCAGGCTCCTCCCTCTCAGGGCCCGGAGCACCTCTGACATCAGCAAGTGTGGTTCCCAGACGACCAGGGCAGGTCACGGCGGAGAGCTCCTCACTGTGAAGAACTGGCTCTTCTCCTGAGGCAGCCCTTGAGTTTCACTCTCAAGGCCATTCCAGGGACATCACATGCGTAATCCTGTGACAAACTCTAAACAGAATTTCTGCTCGTGTCTTTGAAATACTATTAACAAAATATGTGTTGTTTATGAGATCACAAAATAGCAGGTTTCTGAAACCAGAAAAATTACCTCATTTTGTGGTGTTTTTGTTGGAAAATTCTCTGCTTAGACAAAGCATTTATTTTTATTAGTTGTGAGCCCATTCAGATTTTATGTTAATTTTCCTTGATATGACTAGATTTGAATGTGGAATTACCCTTCTGCTAAAGGCATCCTGAGATCATAGTCTAAAAATAGGCTCCATTCAGAGTGACGTTTTTGTAATGAGTATAGAAGTCATTCTAATTATTCAATTTTGAAACATTGGGGCTTTTAATGACTGTGGAGAAGGCTTTAGTCCAGGAAATATGCCTTCAAAACCCCACCTGAGACTCTCTGATCGTTCTTGTAGCAAGCCCTGTTTTAATGATGATAATGATATGGAGATTCAGAGATGGTCATAACCAGCTGCTTACTGGAATTTTAGTGCTGAGCCTACAAACAGGAATTACAACAGGGCTGGAAGGTTAGGAAATATGGAGAAAGGGTGCCACTCAAAAGAATATGGCCACTAGAATAGATGGTGGTGTACAAGACATAGTTTAAACTTGGATCCAACCCACATAGTGGTGATATCAGAGGAGATAATACTGTGAGCAGGTTTGTGACCTAGGCAGTATCAGGAATGTCTTAAGTAGTGGCAGGGTTTCTAGTCAATTAGGTAAAGCATCATAGCTCTCTGTGGCCAACCAGTGCGACCCCCAAACCATTACTGGGGGAAACATGAAAAGAGGAGGAAGCTGTGAAGGCCTAATCAAATTCATAAGCATTTAGTGTTATTCCTGACATGGAGCAGAGATTTTAAAAAATTGCTATTAAGTGAAAGAACTAATGAAGGAAGGAGTTTCCCAAACTTGGGAAAAACAGAAATTCACAGTAGTTTACCTACCCCAGACTCCAAAGGAATTGTAACTGGGAACCAGAACACCATCTAGAGACTTGCAGCATAGAATGGGGTAGTCGGGGACTTCATGAGGGTACTGTTGGGACCAGGAAATAGCTAGCATGCCTCCGAGTTTAGTTGCTCATTTTCTCACAAAGTTTGAGACAACTAGGTCTATAAATTTAAGATCTCCAGGACACAACACTGGACTGATCTTGGAAATGGTGGGATTTATAGGAGAGTTTCTTGTGTTCATGGACTTGATTATGTTGTAGTGAAATGTGCCAAACCATGAATCAGAAGGAGAACATAACATTGGCGGGGTGGGGGGGACAGTAATTACCATTCTCTGAGGGCATTTAAGGCGTCCAGCACCTCACAACCATACTATAAGGTAGGGAATATTATCCAGCTTTAGAGATGAAGACTCATGGCTTCAGAGATTTACTAGTTTGCCCAAGTTACATAGCTCGGGAGTAGGAGGGCCACGGTTTTCACCCAGGCCGTTCAGGGTCTGGCGTCCAGGTTGTAGAAACACCAAGTGCAGACGTGTCACCAACCCACTGTGGGTCTTTGGTTGACTCATTAAAAATCCCTGACCTTCTTCAACATATAGTGAAAAGTTTAACAAGACATATTACTTGCAAGATCCTACCAACTATATAATTATTCCCATTTCGTAAGAAAACAAGTAGTTGAAAATAAGTAATTGAATCTGTGTTTACTTCCTTAATTTTATCATAGTAAATCATCAAATAATTGGTATTGTGTTGTCATTTCTCAATCACTAATAAAAATGCAAATAGTTTGTTGTATGATTTTTGAAGATACATAGAGGACCTAGAGTATTTAATTATCCAAATTAAAAAATAATACTTTTGGATTTTTTTTTACCTAGGTTATACTTTTAAAGTAGATTTTAAAAATGGACAGAGAGGCCCAGCAGGCTAATAGAGTTACAAAGAGCTGGACCTGACTGAGCAACTAACACACACACAGTGCTTTAAAAAATGCTATTACTTTGTCATGCACTCTCTGATACAAGGTAATCTAACAAGAAATTGCTAAATAGCCAAAACCAGATTGCACCTAGGGTTTCACAACTTGGAGGCATCTCTTATATTTCTTTGGTCCATCCCAGAGAGATGCTTTTCAGAAATTCTGTCAATTCCAGGTTCTTGGCATTGCCCTTGAAGAGTTATGCATCAGCAGCATTTTGAGGGCCGTACCTGAGCTCCAGAGGCCCCCAGCCACACCCACTCCCATGACTTACCCTGTGCTCCCAAAGCTCAACCTTGACTGTCCATAATTTCCCAGGGTAGCTGCCCTGAAGGTACACACACAAGCCACTTAGAAGTGCAGAACTCATGTCAAATTCCCTATGCATTTCATGAATTCAAAGTAGCCTCAGTTCAGTTCAGTTCAGATGCTCAGTCATGTCCAACTCATTGTGACCCCATGGACTGCAGCACGCCAGGCTTCCCTGACCATCACCAACTCCCAGAGCTTACTCAAACTCATATCCATCGAGTCGGTGATGCCATCCAGCCATTTTATCCTCTGTCATCCTGTTCTCCTCCTGCCTTCAATCTTTCCCAGCATCAGGGTCTTTTCCAGTGAGTCAGTTCTTTGCATCAGGTGGCCAAAGTATTGGAGTTTCAGCTTCAACATCAGTCCTTCCAATGAATATTCAGAACTGATTTCTTTTAGGATTGGCTGGTTGGATCTCCTTGCAGTCCAAGGGACTCTCAAAGCATCAATTCTTTGACACTCAGCTTTCTTTATAGTCCAACTCTCACATCTATACGTGACTACTGGAAAAACCATAGCCTTGACTAGATGGACCTTAGTTGGCAAAGTAATGTCTCTGATTTTTAATATGCTGTCTAGGTTGGTCATAGCTTTTCCTCCAAGGAGTAGGCGTCTTTTAATTTCATGGCTTCAGTCACCATCTGCAGTGATTTTGGAGCCCAAGAAAGTAAAGTCTGTCACTGTTTCCATTGTTTCTCCATCTGTTTGCCATGACGTGATGGGACCAGATGCCATGATCTTAGTTTTCTGAATGTTGAATTTTAAGTCAGCCTTTTCACTCTCCTCTTTCACTTTCATCAAAAGGCTCTTTAGTTCTTCTTCACTTTCTGCCATAAGGGTGGTGTCACCTACATTTCTGAGGTTATTGATATTTCTCCCAGCAATCTTGATTCCAGCTTGTGCTTCATCCAGCCCGGCGTTTCATATGATGTACTGTGCGTATAAGTTGAATAAGCAGGGTGACAGTATGCAGCCTTTTCATACTCCTTTCCCGATTTGGAACCCGTCTGTTGCTCCATGTCCGGTTCCAACTGCTGCTTCTTAGGGACGGAGA